TTCGCAGATTGTATGGACCTGTATGGGGGAAGAAGACTTCCGGTAGTTGATCGATCTCGATGGTCTTTCGCTCCGCCTTGATGAGAAGAGTATGGCTGAATACTTTATCTGCAGACTCTCCAGCAGGGGTGAACATCCTGTTGAGGCTACTAAGCTCTGTGGCGACCTGAAGAGAGGTTAGCTGTTGAAGGCACCGTGAAGTTGGAAGACTTACATCATGCAATCCCTTTCTAGCGAAATCTCCCGAGCAAAAGGTCAGAACATGCCACCGCCCATCTGCAGCAAGGTTCTTGTTCAGTTGCATTGGCTTTGTATCGGAAAGTCTCACTACAGGCGCGCTTGGAAACCTCATCCCAACCGTCAATCCCGATGCAATACTGTTATCGCTTTCATCCAAAGATGTCAAAACCGAAGGCTTGTACTTGGTAGCCATACCAGCTGTATATCGTCCTGTTTCCACAAACTTGTCGTGAAAGTCCTTTGCGGTGATACCATTGGCCTTTCGGTGTTCGGATGAGAATAGCTTGCTGAATGAGCGATCGAACTCGATGAGTTGTTGAGCTGTCTGTTGCCTCTCGAGAACATATGTCTCTAGCACTGAGGGAGGTGCTCGGCCGGTGAGGACATGTGCCATCTTCCATCCGATGTTGAAGCCATCCTGCAGACTGACGTTCATACCCTGCCCAGCTTTGGGCGAGTGAGTGTGACACGCATCACCAGTCAAAAAGATACGATGATCCTTCGTGAAGTGGTCTGCGAGGCGCTGGCCAATGACATAAGCAGACCACCAGACTGTTTTCGCGATATCGATAGTGAAAGGATGAAAGATTCGCTTGACCTTGTTGATGAGGTCCTGCTCTGTGACATCACGAGCCGAGGTTCCAGGAAGTTCGATGTAGAAGCGTGCGAGTTCGTCGCCCTCGCGAGGAATGATCATGAGGTTTCCGTCGTTTTTGCTCTGGAGCATGGCTTTTTTGCGGATGTCGGGGAAGTTGGTGATGGGGTAGATGTCCATGACGCCCCAGACCGAGTCGCTTGAGTCGCCGATCATTTTGAAGCCGAGAGATTTGCGGACAGTGCTGTGAGCGCCGTCGCAGCCCTGATCGCAGTCTGTTAGCGGAGTAAATGGGTAAGTCGAGGGTGAGAACTTACAATGGCGTATTTTGCACGGTACCTGTAAGGTTCTCCATTGCGCATGGTGATGACCTCAACCGGGTACTCCTCATCATCAACAATCCTCACACTCTCAACCTGAGAATTGTACAAGACCCCACTCGTCCCATTATCCCTCAGCCTGATAATCTCCTGTAGCATCAAATCATTTATCCTCGCCTGGTTAAGGATAAGGTGCGGTTGGTGGCTCAGTCCCTCTTCTGTATCATAAGCAAGATCTTTTCGCATAAGCCCTTCGTTATCGTCAGGTGACCAAAAGGCAACCTCCATGACATGATACGCCTCTTCCAAAAGACGTTCAGAAATACCCAAGTTCTCAAAGATCTCGACAGTGCGACACTGAACACCGTCTGCTTGGCCGATCTCAAGAGGGCCTGGGCGACGTTCAAGGATCTTGAAGTCGATGTTGAAGCGGGCGAGCCAAATTGCTGCTGTGAGGCCGGCGGAACCGCCGCCGCAGATGATGACTTGGACTTTTTCGGACTCCATTGTTGATTGATGATTTGTGCTATTATTCCATGGTCTCGTACATTCATTATATCTTCATGGCGTATACTGGCATATTGGTAGACGGCAGTTGGTGTAGGTTCAAGAAAGTGGAGCTTCCGTTGGATTTCTACGGCAGATCTTGTCGGCATCCGAGTTCCACGGAACCAGCGGAGGAGGGGAAATAAGCTCGGATCTTAGCTGCGGCCACCACCCATATTTTGCCAGGTGGGTATGGAGTAACCAAACGGCAGCGAGAAAACGGGTGTGATACTGTCACCAACGAACTGCAATGTTGATGCTCACCGCGGGACTAGCAATTGATATTTGGAACATTGTAGACTTCGGCATTGCTTTTTTTAGTTACTATTGGCCGAGATTTGGTTTACGTTACAAATAGCTATCGTGCTGCAAACAGGGAAGATGCATTAGATTCTTTCGGCACAGACGATCGATACTGGTTGATGTTGCGATGCTCAGGTCGGCCTTGAAAAGTCAGACACGAGATGAAATTTGTCAAGTCTAGCGTCATAATGACAGACGATAATATCAGCGAGAGATGTAAAGAATACTGCAAGACCTTGTCGAGGTCCCCTTCTCCCAAGGGCACACCCTCTCCACGAGTGTCGTCCCTCCTCCCCGGATGCGAGAAAGAAACATGACCTACTGGGCGTCGCCGTCTGCAAAGCCGTAGATTTGGAGAACCGTGACGCGTTAAAGAGGCTGCCGACGGTGCTTACATGTCTCTCTTTTGCGTCTAAGTCATCCCGCCAACTTGTGTCCCGAGCCGTTGCGATAATTTGATTTGGTAGGCTTAATCATTGGAATATAGTGCGGAGTCTGCAAGCAAGAAGTTCTCAAAAAGCTTGACAGCAACATAATCTAGCGGAGTGTGCTGCGCGGCCGTAACTGTAAAACTCTCGGTCGGCCGGGGCTCGGAAGCAGTAGCCGTAGTCCTGATGGTCGAGCGAACAAGTCGTAGGCTCTTGATAGAAGTTAGTGATTTGGCCATGGAGTAGGAATTGACATGAAGAGAACGTACAAGAGTCCGCGTCGGAGCCGATCCAGACAATGAGAGTGTTGACGAAGAAAGGAGGACTTGATGTCCATAAAGTGTGCTATAAGTCGAGGCTTGTTTGACCATTCTGATGTTGTGATTGGAACAGTGGAACATTGACTAGTTGCCTTTCCCGAGCGGCAAGAGTTTGCGTGTTCTGTATTGTTCCATGGACGTGTCTGGGTTCACGAATGAACAATTAATTTGTTTAGCAAGTCGAGTTCAATCTCTGGCTGGAGAAAAACTTCACTTGCTGTTCGTAGTAAGGTTAAGTAGTTGAAGATAGGAGGCCGGGATGGAGAAATGGAGGAACTCCTTACCAGTATGCAGCTCCTGCTCAGAATAGGCTCCCCCAGGAGCTCTGTGCGTACGCAACCCTGTTTACCCTTCCCGTCGCTACGAAGTCCCACCCGAGCTCCAAGCAGCTCTATGGAAGCTACGCCGTGAGTATGAACCTCCGGAAGCCTTCACGCTCAGTGGTACCCCTTTGCAACACCGAGCTGTTCCATTGGAAGATACTTCCTCAAGGCTGCCCGGTATCCCACTGGGCCACGCCCGTCGCTTTGGCAACCAGACCTATTAGCGTATTTCAGCATTTCCATCGCCACCTGTGTAATTCATCTCAAGTGGTCCCTCTTGCAGCCTGGGCTGCTGCCACTGCGTCCGTCCGCGAACCAGGAAGGTCTACAACTGTGACTACCAGTCTACCACTGGGCAGCCCAGATCACTGCCATTGACAAGCTCAAGCATCGACGGCACGGTACTGCGACCACTAGGATAGTTCAGCCACAATGCATCATTGGTCCTCGGTGTGTGTCTACGTTCAGGGCATGCATTTCACATTGTGGACATAATCAGGGTGGGTGGCGCAACTGTTCAATGGATCTCACGCTGCATCCAGGCAACTGCTGAAGGCAACTCCGATGCCTGGCAGGTACCTCGATGCTGCCAGTTTCAAGAAATAAGCTGGAAGAGGGCGAGATGCAGTGGGCTTTGGAGGCCGAAGTGAGTCACAATCAGAAGCAGTAGCTGGAAATAGTTTGGATCCTCTATTAAAATCTGACTGTTGGGAACCTTCTTATGGTTTATACCCCCAAACCATTCCCGTGTGTTCTCATGAATCTTCGACCGTTCAAACTCTCGTTGGAGTCATGGACAATCAGACCAGACCAATATTGTAGGATACGAATGTCATCTCGGGAAGCACAAGACCACCAGGCACGCTATAGTCCCGGGGCAATTTGCAACACTTTGAGCATTGTTCCTCGGATCTATGGCCTGTGCATTGAGGTTGGGGTAACCCTTCTGTAAACCACGGATTCTTCAACCACAATTGTTGGCACTCCATGCATGCTCCTTGTTGAACCACCTTTCGTCAACTTCCTAAGATACTTAACTCCGCATATATCGTGAAAACTTTGGGGGAAGCTTGTATCAAGGGGGAAGAGCTATCGTGTTACTCTAGTTCCTCGTGCTTGCTACCTCCCACTTGAAATCGATGCATATCACGGGATGAGTAGTCTTCTCCAAGCCCTACTATCGTTGCGCATCGGTAGTACCACGGGCAACACCGTCTTACGTAGTGCATTAGGAGATATGCTACCTGGCCGTGGTAGGTTACGGTAAGCCACCTTGTGTACTACGAGGCTTGAAACACTGTCAGACGGATGGTGGAGTCACAGCAGCAGCGCACGTACAGTCCCGTTGTCCATATAAATTTCGCGTTTCTCCCTCAAAACTTTCCTCCACTCAACCTCTTCCTCCACTCCAACACACTTCACCCGACAATCTTCCACCCATACAACCTTTTCTTCTTTCCACTCTCTTCCTCTTTTAACTCTCTTCCTCTATCAACAAAATTCCTTGATCAGCACCCCCTTTCACTGTGCAGACCTTCCATCCTAGAGTTGCGGGCACGACGAACTGATCCTGCCAAGCACATCAATCAACTTTGCGCCGTCGGCGCCGTCTCAAATAGTCCTTGCACTTGAGCCCCGAGGTATATTGTGTCAGATTTCTCGTTGTCTTCTCCCGCCCCCAAGGCTTCCCATCTCTACTGCCCTCTCACACTCACGTGTCGACTCCCCTTCCTGCCTCATCTGTCGTCTTACTCTGTATCTTGTTCAGATTGAGCCGGCGCCTTCTGCTGAGGCATAGGCTCTCATCACTATCAGGCATACGACCACGACAGCCTCCAATATTAGTTACATGTTGTGCTAACTCACTCCCCGACAGTCTTCCGAAGCAAGAGGCGATGAGCCCCAAGGCCAGTGAGACGACAGCCATGGCTGCCGAGAAGCCCTTCAACCAAGCGGGGAAAATGCTCTCTAAGGAGTCTGTCGAGAAGCCTGACATGACGGACGAAGTAACCAAGACTCTTGGAACTGAGGCCGTTCAGGTCGGAGTTAAGATAGTAAACGGACGACGTTTCACTTTTCGCGATCGCGATAGCAATGGAAAACTGCTTCCACCAAATAAGCATTGGACCGACGAAGAGGGAAACTCCGAGGGACACGACGAGGAGTTGTGGGAAAAGAAGTTGCTTCTACGCGATTGGATCTATGGTCGCATGTCTCCCGAAGAATTCGATGCCCACTTTCCTTGGTATAGTAAGTTCAACTCGTAGAGAATCTTGAAACTGTTGTTGCTAATTAGCTATAGTGGGCCCCCCTAAGGAATGGTATAGGATCAACAAAGAAGCAGATGGGATGCCGCAGGAAGAGAAAGAGGACGTATCTGATGTCCGATCTTCAGATCCCCGTAAGTATATCCCTGCAAGGATCATGTAAATCATTCGTCCTAACCACCTACAGATGAATTCAACGAAAACAACGGCAAGGAAGATGATTCCCGCTACGAAGATGATTCGTGGATCGAAAAGACTAGCTGGAATGAAGAAGAAGCAGGGTGGATCGTGAATGATCACACCCTGAGCATGCTGATCGATGAATACTATGCTTGCCTCAATGGGGATGATGGTGACCTTTCGCCTCAACCCAGCAAGGAACCCCCCAAGACCGAGGAAGGTTTAGTGGAAGGGCTGCCAGAAAACAGTAAGTTTCGGAATCTTGATACTTTGAAATACTTTACTGACTGCCTCCAGAGGCCATAAAGGATCACCACCTCGCTGAAGGAGAAGCCGAAGAGTGGCTGGAGCGAGAGGATCCAAACAAGCCTCGCTATGCCTCCTACTATGGAGATGGCAGTGGACTTCCCCTACGACCTGGTATGGGACCGCCGATGACTGAGGAAGAATACCAGGAGTCCTGGAAGAAGTCAATGGAGCCTTTCGAGATTGTCTGGAACAAGACCGAGGAGGAGCTTGATGCTCAGCATTCGGAATACAGTAAGTTTGCTACTCTTGACTCTTCAAAGTAATATGATACTGACTCATATCAGAGGATCACTACTGGACAGAAGAAGAAGCCGCGAAGTTGCTGGAAGGGGACAGTGACGACGAACTTCACCCCTATGCCTCCTACTATGGAGATGGAGGTGGACTTCCCCTCTGACCTGGTATGGGGCCCCCTCTGACTAAGGAAGAGCAAGAGGAGTCGTTCAAGAAGTGGCGAGTTGAAGAGGACAAGATTTTCAATATGTCTGATGAGGAGTTCTATACTGACTCTCCGAAACGCGGTAAGTTTCCCAATCGACTTTCTTCAAGCTAACACTCTGCTAATTGTGGACAGAGCGCAATTTGGAATCGCTTTGTACCGAGGAGGAAGGGTTGCGCTTGATGGAGGAATGTGAAGAAGATCATGCCCGCAGAAAAGAAGCCATGATTCGTAAATGGGAGGAATCCAGCAAAGCATGCCCTGAAAACCAACTGTAACTTGTAATAGTTACGGTAAAGACAGAATACGGGCTGGCAAAGGAGAAGCTGGTTTCAATGATCTGTACGCCGTACTGTTAGTATGCGAGGGTGGTTGAACGGTTTAGGGAGAAAGGCACAGTTGATATCAATGACCTGTACGCCGTACTGTTTGTATGCGAGGGTTTAATTTTTACTATTTATACGTGTTTGGCACAAGCCTGGTGATCTTCTTCTAAACAAGGGTGTGTTGTTAACTAAGTTCATTCTTTGAACGATTATGGTCGAGATCCCGGCAAAAGTATGTAACCCTGCCGTAATCAAGGTCACGCCAACTCAGCCCATAAAGATGACCAAGACGTTTCTGTCATGCTTCAACATCCGTGAAGTATTTTGCCCAAACATTGCAATAATAGTCAAAACTGTTTTCCTGGCTCTACAGACCGATTGCATCGGCCACGAACAGGTCACTGCGCACTGTAGTCAACTTTTCATTTTACGATACCCCTGCTGCATGTTTGGCAAGGCCGAAGGAATCTTTCAGTGTGCTGGCTTATATGTCTCGCTGAGAGGTCATAAGCTTTGAGTATCAATCAATGACACTGGCGATTTGTCTCACGATAGCATAGGTATAGTGTTAAGTGAAAAAATTGGGATGTAACAGTGATTCATAGTGCGGGTTTTCCACTTGCTCCGCCTTCAGACCTTCGCAGAGAAAGATTGCCATCCTGTGAGTATCCGTACTCGGCCAACATGGAAAATGATTAATAGTATTGGTACGGTTAAGGAACGTTATACTCCACAAGCGAAACTGTTCATGGATTACTAATAAACTCGGGCACTGATCACGGAGAGTTGGATTTGGGTGCGTGAGGCAGGCAGCGCTAACTCAGGTGCGAAGGGAGGGAAAATATATAACGCATGCGTTGTGGACGAGAAGTGTTTGGCCAATAATCTGACTATGAAAAGCTTCAGTGGGCGGCTTGACTCTATTATCTGTTGAGGGGCGAGGGTCAGGAAGAGAACTCAGATACTTCTACGTAGAATAAAAAAGACAGATTGAGTTTAGTGGAAATTTAATAACTTCTGTTCTTGGCACCTTGTCTCAGAGTCAGATGTTTTTTTACTTCTCAAGGCAGCTACTTCAGTCTCATTTGCGTCCATGAGCTCAATCATCATCAGCTCTGAAAACCACATAACTAGGAGACGACTCTCAAGCACACTGAAATCCGGTTCCATTCCTAGAACTGAGTTCCTGCCGCTTTAGGCTGAGATGTCGCTTAGCGAGGGCTGAGGATCCTAGACCTGGGTCTGTTATGGGCTGAGGTGGGGCTGAACAAGGAGCCCCTTCTCGCCGCCAGCTTCTGACACTTAGATATTACTAGACATAATTATAAATAACGCTTAGATTTATATACTTATCTTATTACTTAATATGGAACTTTTTAATTTATTATACTTATTTTATAGTTAGGAACCTAGATTATTACCTCTTGAGACCATTACTCAGAGCCGTGCCTGTACTAAAGTACTAAGGCTCATTCCGTATAGCATTCCATTTGATCAACTCACGAATAAATGGTGTAGTTTTAATCTGAGAATTGCTCAGATGATAGGGAGCATTTCAAAGATGCGTCTTGATATGTTGCTGCGTTACTATAAGTTTGTAACTGTGGCAGGCAAGAAGCCGGTATTCTGGTACAGGTATAAAGTATTCCATTTCGAGTGGGATGGGTTGGAAATCCACCTAATCTCAGTAATTGCTTCTAAGTCCCTAAAATAGGTTGAAGTCTTCTATGGCAATATTGGCTTCCTGAAGTGCCTCTTGTGTGACTTCTAATATATGTGGATGTCTTTGATACCTTTCGCAACGAATTCCCATTTCCATCAGAATCGTAGACGGATCAGTCTTCAACTCGTTTCTTCGAGTGTCCAACAACGCAACATGTGTATTTTCAATGGCAGGAGTGCTAAGAGAGTGACCAAACATATTTATCGGCCTGCAAAAGCTGGGGAAGGATCCGTGGATAATCTCGCCCATCATCAGGCCCGGCACGTAACAGACGCCCACAACCTGGTACATTGCGTCTGATGCGGAGCTTGTGGCATATTCTCGTAGGATGACTGGGTGCCTGCCACCAAATATTACACAAACAAGGTCATTTGAGATAGTACCCAGTGGCGCAAGTCCAATGAGCCCGTCGACAGTTGAAAAAATACAGCGTCCCACGATATTCAAAGTGAATGTCCTGAAAAATGCTTCAGATGGATGCATGGACACCTTTCTCAGATCATCATAATCTCCATCGGTCATCCATATAGTGCGAACATCTTGTACGGTTCGATCAAACTCAGGCCAATATCTGTCAGGCGGGTCAAAATCGTGGGCAAATGCCAAGCCAACGAAAACGCGAGCGTAAGCCTCAATAATTGTTCCCCCACTCTTGTAAGGAGCATCAAGGTCCCCTGATGGCTTGAAGTGCCTTATTAATTTGATCATCCGATTGTGAGAAACCTCTGTATCGTAGTTGCCAGTCTGTGCACAGCGAACGTTGGCTATCCTTGATGCCCGGATGCCGGCAACACGGAGTACTCTTTTCCCAAGAAACGTGTCCTGTGGAAAATTGACCTTTGCCGATATCCACCCGCAAGCGCTCCACGTTCCCCAGGGCATGTTTAGTTGTTTCAAAGAACTCGACCAGTCTGGAACCCAACTGGGTATATCCAAGACTTTGGAGCAAAGTTCGCAGGTGTCAAGAATTTTCAATGAACGACGCTGGATGATAATCTTTTGGACTACGTCCATGTAGACTTCAGAAACAGATTTGGAATAATCTGCTTGAATGCCTAGACCTTGATCGGGCCTGCATAGCAAACTGGATACTCCGTAAATCATGTCCCGCGGATCTTTGCATTTGGTGCCGCGAATGTCCGTTCTGAGGTCACGATAACCAAGAAAACCCGGCCGCGTCCTGCAAAGTGACTCAAGCAGCCGTAGAGATTGAACGAATGCGATGTTGCGTTCCCGAATATGCCAAATGTCACTAGGCTGGCGAAACATGACGTATGCCCCTTTCCTGAATAGATTCCAATCAACCTCCGTGCTGCCGCATTTCACTAGGGCTACAGTGGAAAGGATAATTTCTTGACGAACCCAGATGCGCTCAAACCATGGCCGCTCAAAGAGAGAACATATGCTGTGCAGTTCCTGGTCATTGAACGGTGCTGTCATGGCGAGCTCCGCCCAACCTAGTTCGGAAGTGCCATGTACTGGTCTTATGCTCGTCGTGCTCCAATTAATTTCGACTTGGCGGCCAACGTGAGCTATGGTCTCGAGGGCATGACGGCTCTCGTTCTCCTCTGGGCACAACCAGGCCAGAACGCGATTCGCAAGTCGATAAATGCTGCCCATGAGAGGGATCTGGGAGCTCTTTTCCTCCTCATCCTTTTGATTGATACAAAGAGAATCAACCCAGAGCTGTCGATCCTCTGCTGTATATCTGAGGTGCCGAAGAGTGATGTCAAGGTTGTTTGTGATGGAGATGGAACTTCTGTCAGGCATTATGGCATCCTTGGGATTATGTTCTGAGCCCCAGACATATGACAGAGCTTCATATTGAAATAATCCATGGTTCCGCTGAAAATAGATGGGCTGGACTGGATTAGCGCATTGGTGGTTTGAGCAGCAGCAAAGGAAAATCACTTACAACTAGCTGTATTTCGGCCAAAGAGATGCGAATCGGGTCCGAAAACGAGCCTTGATAAAGCGTGACGACTCTGATGCTTTGACCAGGGAAGTTGAGAGGCTCGTAGACGAAGCGTTTCGAGATGTTAGCCGGGAGCGACATTAAAATAACTGTTTTCCACTAAAACCTCTCCACGACAAGGCAATGAATTTTTTCACTGAATATTCTCATTGCGCGCACGCTGTGAGCAATTTCTGTTGATCTGCAGTTGGCTAAAGCTTATTATAGGACGCTGAAAGGTGAGATAGTAAGCGCGGATGCACTGCTGAAATCTGAGCCATTCTTGCTCTCTGGCTGCACAAGGTACCTTGTGACAGTGACCCCCGCGGTGGCTTTTTTCAACTCCACTCAGGCCTCCCAGGCCTCTCTCTACGATACGGTTCGTCTCGTTTGATTGCCTGGAAGAACCGCGAAGCGTATGCCTTAGGCGGCAAGATGCATGGCTGAATTGATACTACCGCAGGTAAGGGGATTAGGCAGCAGTTGCTTCAGGCATTTCTGGTGATATTGGATGCGAAATGACTCAAATGAAATTTTGTTGGCTGCAGCTCCGGTGGGGGGCAAAGGTCGCTTTGGTCTTAGCGGGAGACAGTATCATGGCTTATTATCGCCAGCCTGAAGCCGACTAAATCTACATGCATCCTTTCCCAGATGGGACAGTATCGCAGAAAGAGAAAAGTAGTTGGTTGGGACAATGCAGACCGGAGCTGCGGCGAAGAAAGTTATAATCAAGAATTGATGCATTTCTCATCCAGCATCACTAGAAGTGCTTGGGGAAACTGCTGCCTGATCCCCCCACCTGCATGCCTGTGGCTTGACGAACTCTCGTGCCCAAGGCAGAAGGACAGATGACCATGGTTGCATAAACCCTTTAGAAAGCGGAGTTTTGTATATATAAAATTGCATGTGCCTCCTCGATACATATCAAACCCAAATGTGCCCCGTACCTAAGCCCAAGTCCATATCCTCCCAAGACCCAACTATTTCATCTCGGCAAAAGCAGCCCGCGTATCCTTTAACCCAGTGATTTCCAGGTCTTCCTTGGTCAGTATCACTCCTTCATCCGAGAAACTCTTCTCCTTAGCCCACTCGAGGTATTCATGCATCCTGTCCATTGCTTTGCCCCATTTAGGCCACAAGCTGTAGTAGGTCTCTTTGTCCACCTGCACATACTCCGCCTCGACACCGTGCACTGCTGCCCACGCGGCAAGCATCTCTCCGGCGGTCATGATGTCGGTCATGGCATAAACAAATTTACCGCCAAGCGTCTTTTCGGGTTTGTCGATGATTGCTCTCGTGAAGACGCCCACATTCAGCGTTGCGTCACCAACAAGTGGGAATTGCACCGATGCTGGAGTTGGTTGGAGCTGGATGAACTTGTTCTCGCCAGCCGTCGCAATAGGAAAGGGACGATAGAACGGGTAATTCATATTGGAAGCGTAGACAGCGACCCAGAGAAATGTTGTCTTTTGTAGCAGCGCTGGATCCGACTTGATAAAGTCATTGATCCTGTTCTTGCTTACATAGTGAGGCACTGCGAACTTGCCGCCACTGATCCGGTGTGTGTTGGGTAGAGTCGACCAGATGAAGTGCTCTAGTGTTGGTGTCGCAGCTGCGGCTTTGGCAATGTTGAATCCATGTCTCGTTTCAATCTCGATGGCCTGTTCTGTGTCGTATATCATGAACGGCTCAAAGAAATTAGTCGCGGCGAAAATGACTGATGTTCCAGAAAAAGCTGCCTCGAGTGAAGCAACATCTTCGAGATTGGCCTCAACAATTCGAACACCCTGTGACGCGAGTTTCTTGGCTGCTTCACTTTGACCGTTGCGAGTGACAGCCGTAAGGGAGAATGCATTGTCTTTCATCAGAGCTCTAATGACAGACCCGCCCTGAATGCCTGTGGCACCGATAACTGTGACTTGTCTAACCATGATGTTGTTCGTTTCCGTGAAAGAAGAACTAGGAATGATGTTGCTTTTAGGTATGAATAGAAGTCTAGTTGATTCGGGTAGTGTATTGGCTTTATAGCATAATTCACCATATCACTGACTGAAGGATGATCTATATACTTTGCGCACTTTCCATAGTAGTCTCCTCGATTGAGCTTATTGCATCCATCAAGCGGTAAATTACAAATCATGAATTACAAATCGATTATGCAACTCTGATTCATTTACGAGAGTCTGCGGTGCTATAAGGAAGAAACAATGGATATGGATATTGATCCACATATGTCCGCACGCAGGTCGAGATAAGTCTTGCCTCGCTCGCTCCTTTCTCCGAGCTTCACTCAAGTCTCAGTGTAGCTTGGAGTTACCGAATTACAAATCGTAGCCAAATTATAGAGGTCATCGACATCGAGACCTGGGAATTATGACAACTGAGGCCGTAAGATCATGCATCATTTCGGCATGGTTATTGGAGACAAGTGGATCCTTGCGGAGAGAAATGGGGCCGTATATACCGGTCAGGTCCACAACTTTGAGGGTTTGGATATGTTTTCATAGCACGTGTGGCGAATAGACCTCCGAACCAATACTCACATGCAGTGAATCAGTCGCCAAAGCTTCCGGATAAGGGTGTATTTTGGTAGTATGAGTACGTCATGAGTTGCATGAGTAACGCGATTATTTTCAAATCCATACATGTCAGCTCTGAAGTGTATGTTGGAGTGGTATATAACTGATGCCAGTTCCCCCCAAAATCGAAAACCCAAACACCGGACCAGACGAGACAGCACTCTTTTTCTTATAGAAGTACAGAAGTTCAGACATTGTCACCCTCTTCAGCTATGGCGATTACAGAGGTTATTTTTCCGAAGCTGAAGCCTGATCAGGCCCTGCTCAAACAATTGGCGACTACTTTCCCAACTGCCGCAAAGACAACATTCTCAGGTGTTCCGGGCTTGTCAGGCTACTATAGAGGAAAAGTCATCGAAGCACAAAACGTTTCACAGGCCGCAAAGTTCGACCATAGTGGTCTTGTTCTGGTTTTAGGTGCGTTGTGTATTTTTCGGAGTGATACGCCGCACATTTCGTCCATTAAACGAAGCACGGGCTAATATAGTTTAGAATGGGACAAAATATCGTCATTCAATTCGTTCTGGGTCTCAGAAGGATTCGCGGCTTTTCGGTCGGTAATGAAACCATTCATGCTTAGTCCAGTCTCTCCAGATTTGTTCTACTCCAACCTCCCAGACTCTGGCAGCACGACTACCAGCAACTACACACAGTATATCAAAGTGGAAAACTTGGGAAGTGAGGATAAAAGTGTCGAGAATTCTTGGAGGAACTTGACTCGAGAGATCGGGCTGCATGCTAAATCCTTTCACGCTTGGGGCGTCCAGGAAAGTGATGGAGCGTTTATGGGGATGATTGGTTGGAGTAGTCTTGAGGTATGTTGGTTTCAATCTGTTCTTACACAGCGGTCTTGCAACGTAACTGATCGCGCACAGACTTTAAAATCCAAAAACGAAAAGGAATCCGTAAAGAAGGCCTTGCACCAATTGACCAAACATGGCGATGTTACTGCCTTTGTGCTAGAGTTATCAAAGCAATCTTAACTCTTGTGTCATGGTTTGCTAAGCAGTCTTGTTGCTATCCTCAACATCCCGTAAGGACCGATAAGGCATGTTTAGAGTACCTATTGTGAGTCTATTTGCTTCAGTATTGATTGGCTACGCATCGATCCGCCCCATATACAAGCCTCAAGATGGCAGAGCAGCGGGAGAGAAAGTTACGATTGGCAAAATGCATTACCAGCAATACCTGTTTTGAGACATTATAGTCCCTGGAGAATAGGCACCTTTGATATAGACATTTCAATTGGACATGCCATAATTCTCTGCTTGTAACATGCCTTATCAGTCCTTAAGGGAAGCTAGATTGAGACATCACCATACGCATTCATGATTGGACATGAGTGTGTAATTGCAACCAGTGTTATTATTATGGCAAATGACCCGTTGTTGAACCAGTTGAAACTTTAACATAGCTGTAGCTTTGTAGTGCTTTTGTTTGTCAGAGGTACGAAGTCTAGCTGCAATCGAAGATATTCAGTGGTCTGATACACAGTGAGCGGCAAGAACTACGGAGACTTCGTTTGTCTCGTGGGGTTTGTGTGTAGGATGTCATGTTTCAGAAAGTCCGGGACTTTACAGCTGAAACGACCGAATCTAGCTTATTGCACTGGTGGTCATGCTGTTACAGGTAGTGTGCCGATGTATGAAAAAGGGTGTATTATGATGATGATAAAGCTAGGAGGATTCCGGCGGGGTCAGGTTAACCTATGGGAATTGGATCTGAGGCATACACTCTATACATGCGGCCACTCGTGGATCTTGGGGCTACGGAGCGGAGATGTATGGGGCCAGGCACGATGGCCTGCGGAGAGATGTGGAGATGACTTTGCAAGTCTCTTTCGACCGTGCCGCAATGAGGTGATCCTCGCATCGCTTAGGATAGATATGGAGTTTAACGAGGGACCGTAGCTCCGGCTGACGAGAGACCTAGGAAGCTGATGTGGTATAGATTTGCAAGCTGTTCCGTTCTTCTTCGTGCCACGATGTGGGATCGAAAGATTTTCAATATAAAATAGCCTTAATTGGCTTTACGTGGACTTCAAAACAATCGCGGTTGTTTTCTGTGGGAATGAAAGAGCCGTTTACACCCAATGGAGCTAGGAGACAGTACTTACCGTTCGGTGCTGGTCGACACTGTTGTATCGATAAGAGGTTCGCATATGCGAACCTCAGCGTCATTATAACGATAGCCACGATAACCACTTATCTCGGGATCCATTCAACAGCAATTGCGCGTTAGTCTTTGATGCCAAGCTCATAATATACGCTAATTCAGGATAAGAACGTACTAGCAATATTTATTGGGGCCTATTGAGTAATGCCGGTGCTGGTCGGGTTGATTCTAGTTAAGCCTTTACATGCAACAAGTAGCAGTTGCGCAAAGTCATCGGTTCGCCTCAGTCTTCCCAACTCCCACTCTTGGACAAATTCATTGTAAGTCACAACATACCCAGTATCATGTAGTTGCAGGCCACTCGCGCAAGGCCCAAGGGTTAGGGGCAGGTGCAGCGAGACGGGTAGACTCAAGAGGTCCGGTATGATATGACAGCTCTTATACTGCAGCACGCGATAAATGCCACGCAATAGGTATGATACCACGACCGCCCGACGGGCAGTCTCATGAGAAACATCCGCCACGCTATCCGCCAGACTCCCACCAAGACCGAGACATTGCCACTGTAGCACGACAGTCGCTCGTTCCAACACATCCTCTTGGTTCTCGGAGAAAGTCCGCAAATGCGCGTCCCCACCGAATAACATCAAGGTAAAATAGAGCAAAAGCGCCTGTAGCGTGGCTAACTGTCGCTCAAACGAGCTGTGTGGAATTTCTATCGCCAGCTTGCGGACTTCAGTAACTATTAACCGTTGGAAGATGTCATTTGTTGCATCTGTGCGAGCCAGGTAGGTTGCACAGATGCTGAAAGCGGTTGCCAAACTGTATGGCATTGAGCCTGTTTGGCCAATGAAAGGATTTTTGCCCGTTTGAACGAACTGTTTGGTGAAGGATAAGAGCATCTGGGCACAAAATCTCCAGGATTGTGTGTCGTCTAGGCGCGGCCAGAACTCCAGGACTCTCTTCTGGAGAGGAGTTGGAATTTCAAATGTTGGATCAAGATGTAGATTATCAAAGTCGTTGAGACCGACCACTTCACTCAAGGTAAAGTCAGGCGGCTGCATCAGCAAGTGATCTGCATCTGCAATACCAACCGACCCTGATTGCGCAGGGAGGCACAGATCCGTGGTACAGTTGCCCACGGCCAGAGGCAGCCCGACGGAATCTTCCATGTTCCAATCTGAGTTTGCCTGGCAAGAAGGTGGAAATGCGTATTGACAGTCCAGCGACCGTTGCGAGCACCGCTCGCACTTGGGGATAGCTCTGCTGCATCGCCGTTTGGCTGCTATGCAAGAATTACAGGATGTCTTTAGAAGCGAGGGCATGATTTGCTGGTTTCCCCTACGGCAGGGTCTTGGGTCTTGGGTCTTGTTGTTGCGTATGGATGTGCTTTAGACCTGGGTTTGGAGACAAAACTTTGATATTTGGCTTGCCTCCAAGGCTACAACCATCAATATGAACGGAATAGTACCTAATGAGAGAGGGAGTTGATAACTCATGATTAATAACAGTATCATTTCCCATCATGCCGTTACGTTAAGAGTTGCTTTGTCAACCTCGAATACGAATACGTTATCTCTATTATTAATGAGACTAGTCCCAATTCCCCGCCCCGGCCTGATCCACTTCTCTCCGCTAGCGCCACTAAAATGAGAACTGTCCATGTAACACCACTTTATTAGCCTCAGTTTCCTGGACAGTCTGTTGGTACCTAGGGTGTCTTGAAAAACCGACCTGTGATCTTAAAAGACAACTTTCACTCTTCTCTCGTGGCAAAAGCAAGCTTAGCGACCGTGACCTTTAAAGGACAACAGCTTTACTCGCACACCAGAGGTCAAGGTAATCGGCACCCACTACGACGCTGGTTTCATCAGTGGAAACGACATGGCAATGGTTCTGGATGGCGAAAATTCCACAAATGGCAACAGCCAACTTTTTTTCCCTACTTCACACGACGAATGTGATATATGGCTAAAAAAGGTACTGAACCACCCCTTGACACTATCACCAAATATCTTCATTTTTAACCAAAGTAGCTATAGTTCGCCTCAAGTCAAGATGGGTTGGATCCTACACAAACAAGGACAGTCTATGCTCCAGAGGCAACGCTGCGTTTTTCCACCTATCCAACTATTCGTGGAGCGGCCAATATCGAGGAAATGGTAGCGGCACGCTTCGCTCGCCTTGATCTAATATCTCATGTGCATCGTTATTTTGGTGCGCCACTATTCCATTCAGCTTAAGTGAGCGATGTGCCATGCTAAATCTAACAACAGATCTGGTCGGCTCCAGGATGTGGTCTGTGTTTGATGTTCGATACCGCGTCAAGGGTGACCCGTCTAGGGAGGAATTTTTGGTGCCATGCGCCTGTGTTTTCACTCTGATGGAAGACGGTAGGCACAAGGGTAAAATATCGGAACTGGAAGTTTTCATGGACCAGACAGTGATAGAGGAGAGAATGAAGATGTTACAATAGATCACCAGTTGTTCAGCATTATACCAAAGTTTATGAAATATATTCTTCTCTTTAAGCTGCAGCGCATTTTCCAAGCCTCAACTTGGAGGTGTTGTGTCTAGTTGCAACTTCAGTAACATGCTACCATGGAAGTGCTCATCCTGTGTTTGCACAAGATAACCTTCCTATCTAACTCAGACTCGTCCAGGAGAGTTTACGTGGATAGAAATTCCCTAAATACTTGCAGGTTATATAGTGCTAGGAGATTCTTGGGAGAGCTGATAAGAGTATCAATATATTTTGAAACGAGAAACATGTCCCAAAGATGCTAGACTGACTATTCATTAAACGGAGGTATTCTGCAAAACAATTAAAAATGATTAAATTTAGAGGGTGTTTCTATTCATCTACCTCCATGCCTCTTACTCGCTCTCTGTTTTAGAAGCGGCATAAACATAGTAAGACAGTTTTAATCAAGGCATATCTTTATCCCATACAGCATCAACAATACCAAATCGAATATTATGTCGGCTTTAGTTACGCTGTTTTTAGATCCATTCTAATTCTCAGAGTTCTCCTTGAGTCGTGCTCCTAATCCTTCATAGTAGTATGCACCTTACGGAGCTTGCCAATATCAGCATGATTCCCATTTTTTAATAAAAGAACCTGAAAGTTTTATCTAGATCCTTCGACATCCACAGCATTAGTATTTTCATGAGAGTCTAGTTACGACGAGCAGTTGATCCAGTCGCCTCCTTGTAAAGTTGTACCCAGTTTACAGTAAGTCAACTCATCCCCTGCCAGAGAGACGCACCGGCCTTTCAGATCGTCTGCACACATGAGAACCTTGGCAGCAAAGAAGCGAATACCATGCGTAGAGTTCAATTAGAGCGGCTGCATCTTTAGCACTAACTTCCTCATCAACATGAGTACCGTACCCAAAAAGAAATATTAAAAATAAAATCATTTACATATACACTGCCGCAGTTAAGGAGAGGAAGCTTGTGGAATTTGCTATAAAGATAGCTGATTTACAATTTAAGCTGTAAGATACTAGCATGCAGAAGCTCTTAAAAAACAAAGCTAGCAAATAGAGAAGATAGAAAGAGGAGGTAGTAGAATGTTAAGGGTATAAATAATAGCAAATAAGAGAGGTCGGTCTCTTTTATAGTAGAGGGTCGCAAGTTATGGACAGCAAGGGCATATTATCTAAATAGAGAGTATTACTAAACTAGAAGCACTAGTATTAATTTTATAATTACTTTATAT